GGGAGTGGAGTCCTTGGTGCGCTCTGAGCTTGGTGGTTGGCTTGGCGACGGTGCATTACCCAACGAGGTCACATCATCAGTGACCTATCAAGTTTGCACTGATGATGTGACCTCGTTGGGTAATGAGACGTCCGCAAGCCACCCACCAAGCTCAGAGCGCACCAAGGACTCCACAGTTTAACCCTGAGCTACAGATCCTCTCTTCTATTGGAAGGATGGAGTAGCGAACAAGATGTTTAGGCACGTATGTGTGGATCTACACATACACGCACGTATATACATCCTGTGAAGTCCTTGGGGTTCTCTGAGTTTGGTTCTTTTCTTGCCAACGTTTCGTTACCCGGCTAGGTAACATCTTCAGTGCTAAAATGGGACATTACCTAGCTGGGTAATGAAACGTTGGCAAGAAAAGAACCAAGCTCAGAGAACCCCAAGGACTCCACAGTTCAACCCTGAGCTACACGTATTTGCCTCTGTTGGTATATACATCCATACCTCTACCTATAGTGATGTTCAGTGCAACTGATGAGGGGTCTCTAAATCCCTGAAAATGCCTGTTGGCTGCCAACTCATTTTTATCTCTGTACCCTAGTGCAGACAGGCCTTGAACATCAACCCTTTTGTTGATATATTTTGTTGACCTACAAAAAATAAACTAGTTTGCTTGACGAAGGCTCCGCCATCGTTCAAAAGCTTGACTGCACCTCGGTAAACCCTGAGTTGGCTTAATAAAAGATGTTGCATCAGTAGGAATTTGGATCTTTGCCCGCCATTGCTGGACTCTCCTCTTTCGGGTTAGCCAAGAACAAAGCAACTATGTAGAATGTGATATATTCCGACAGGCTCCCTTCTGGGAGCTTTCCCACCTAATGCTGGCTCGGGTTTAATCCAGACAGTGATCTGATGGCCTGGTGGAAGTCCTGCTGCGTACAGAAAATGCCACCCTTGGTAACCAGATATGAACGACAGGCATTTAGCTTATAAAAAACACGCATTTCACTTAAAGATGGCAAACAAGAATATCTCCAGTGCTCAAAAGGTGTGGAATGAATGCAAAGGCGCAAATAATTCAGCTAATACCCCACCACCACCAAACACACACACACGCCCTACAGGCGGCAACTTTTGTCTCCAAAAACCACCCTTTTATTCCATAAACAAAAGATTGCGTCCAGATTCACAAGGAAGAAAGAATCTTGGCCTCTGAAGCTTATTTCAACCAGCCTCAAAAGCAGTGTTTCTCAACCTTGGCAACTTTAAGACGTGTGCACTTCAACTCCCAGAATTCCCCACGCCAGCCATGCTGGCTGGGGAATTCTGGGA